GTCGCAAACAGTGACACTCATGCATCTACGCATTATTCTTTTAGCACCAGTACATATAAATTCTCCATCTTTCGCTTGAATTCGCTATGAAGATTGTAAGCTTCATTCTTCTTTTTTACTCAAATGGGCGGAAATGACAGCAACCAAAACCGGCGCAAAAAATTGCATGGTTAATGGCTGTGCAAACTGAAACTGACTAGTTTCCAATGTTTTCTGTTGTTCATCACATAATTTCTATCGCATATAAAGGCATCTACATACTTCACTTCGGAAGATGTCGGTAATTCCTCTGTCCCTATCAGGATTCGAACAGCAAACCTTCGGGGAGGGGATTCAAACCCCTACCTCTGAGGAACATGACTGTAGGTCATCATCTTGTAAGAAGGGCTCAATCTATTCTATAGTATAACGTAGGCTTGAAATCCACACCCAAGACCATCAGGTACCGGGGGACAATCGAATGAACTAACCCAAGAATGATATGCAAAATATGTAGATTCCTCTTTAAAAACACACCTAGTTTACGGTCAATGTCCATTAGGACCATGGTTCTTCTCCTAGTCGTCTTAATTCTACCACTCACTTCTTCCATTTCATTTGTGAACTAAATAGGTAACCAAAAACAACAACGGGAACCGGTGCATGGAAGTGTTAGACCGTTGGTCGTACAACCCGGATCCCATCTGATGCGCACAAGTGAGTAGTACTTCACGTACTGGAATCCATAGACGAGGGACTTCCCTTGTTCTAACTTTAGTTTAGCTTAATTTCAGTCCAGTTTTTGCAACTATTAACCACGCATTTTCATGTGCCGGTTTTGGCTGTCCATATAACAGAAGAGAAGAAAGATTGGAATGTTGAGACGTGAGTCACAGGGAAGATAAAGAATTCATATAGTTCGGGGCTGTTAGAATAATGAGTAGATATATGAGCGCCACTGTTTGTGGCACTCAGCCATATCAATCGGCATCTCCAACCACCGGTTGCCATGATCTAGGTAGGGGTCCCCAGGAGGGGGAGCCTAACGGGACCTATCTGAATAGCGTCAAGGTTAAGGTATTCATACCATCGTATCAGGTCTTTGACCGCCGTTGACGTTTCGCCACCCACTATCTGTATCGGCACACATCGTTCTCCGTGGCTACCTATTTGGTGACAGTGAACAGTACGACAAGCGATTGCAGTAGTAACGAAAAATGGTGCTTTCATCGCTGATATTATTCACAAATACAATGAAAATACCGATGGGTTTCACTGAACCTGTTGGAAACAAACCAATGGACGTATTTAAAATGCTACCACTATTTAGTCTATTGTGACATAATACAAGAAAGTGAACATCTCACTATGAAACTCCCCGAAAACTTACCGAAGCCTCTCGCCGATTGAACATGGCCTCCCCCAAAAGAATTTCTTCCCAGTTTCGGTCCACTTCGGTCAGCATGTTCGGATCTTCCAATTGTTTGATCGTGATCAATGAGTCTACCTAAAAGCACCAAACGAGTGGGGAGGCAGACCAGTGTCAATGGGCACGGGACATAATAGTAACAATCCGCGAAGTTCATAGTAAAACCTAGCAATTAAGTAAATTTTAGTCTATACAAACAATGTGGTGAGACAAAAGCTGTATATGTAATCACGAACAGAAATTGAAAGAACTGAAAAAATCCACGACGGTACGTAAAATTAACACGTTCAGAGTGCGAAAGACATTTTACTGACATTTTCAGTGATTTACTTTGGAGACACGAAGGATCCATTCATGAAACGGATGCTGGGTTTTGCAGACGTCGATTAGAGCACTACGTACGGATTGTGGTGTAGTCCGAAGTCAAGAAGGTGCGATAGGTTTTTCCAGCTTAGTGATATAGGATCACAACCCCAAGCTGTATGCCAGCGGATAAATGACATATGGATGGCGGTGGCGAAGTGGTTTAATCACTGTCACTGGCGTGCTTGAGACCCTACGGTCCGAGAAATGTCACTGCCACTCAACTTTGATGGTAGGTGGCTTTGCTGTCATTCGATTTAATACCCAGCCTGATCTAGTGGGGCCATATGTGGTTGGGCACTCCAAGCTCGGAGGCTTAGGTTACCGATTTCCGTGACTGAACAGCAGGTTCTCGTGTTTATGGGGTTTACCCCGTCTGTTGTTCGTTACACTAAAATGTGTAATAAAACAAGACTCACTAGAGCTTTGGAATACACAAATTCTGATGCAATAACAGGAGTCGTTTATCCTGGGGTGAAAGAAAGCACGAATTGTACTAAGGATACTGCATTCATCTTTGAGATCAAAATAATTTGAATCGTAAGCACATTGAGCGATATCAACCATGGTATATGCTATATATCAGATTGTAAACGAAGTAGTAGACAATATCTACTGAACAAGATAAAGATGCTTAGAACAAGGTGTAGACAGAACAGCCCGACTAAGTAGGATTTAGCTTATCAGGTCATTTTTGGCTTGTTTTGGAAGATTCGTTGACATCAGAACGGGGGCTTACAGAATTAAGTATTGGAATCGTGTTTCCCGATAGAAAGAAAAGGCAATTAACGTCTAGGAGCTCAAGAAAAGAAGTCAAGAGGACGGAAATAAACACACGAAACACAGTGGTCCTAACCTATGAATCGGAGTCGATCAAAGCATGTGATACACGAAATTATCATAGCATTATGATAAAGTTTTGGTGCTGTATCAAGGGTTATTGGCATTAGATAAATTGCAATAATTAGTAGATGAATGAACCGACTAAATTTTGTTGGCAGCATACGACGGTATCACGGTTCCCGCTGCTCGTCGGGTAAGCGTAACCGATAAGTCTAGAGTCAGTACCCTGATACGCTCTTGCACAGGAAGTGTATTTTCGTCTCATAAATGGACTGGTTTAGAACGGACTGTCCAGACAGATTGGCCCAATGTTGTTGATGAGAGGGCAAACACTGCTGATGAATCATTACAAAGATAACTACTATCTGGTGAACTTATGGATCATCGAGCAAGTTTCCACTGGTGATGAAATGCGACCTTGGGACTTCGGAAAATAATACACGGTCTAACAATTATTACCACACGATGATAATAACATTATTACCTACAGTATTCGTTATAACAATAGCTATAAACCATCATTTTGCGCATTGGCCAACAGAGTGTACTTCTTTTTGTCACCAGTTTCAGTTAAAAGTAACACACACAGTAAAATGGTAACTCAAACCTCGGAATCAAGTAATCCAACTTACAGTCTGGAAATGATACCACACTGCGGAATGGCGGAACCACCACATTACAGATCTGACTTTTTCATCGAGAGATGAACAGTCGAACTTTGTGGTTTTCGCAGCTAATACATACAACGTAATATAATAAGCAAACTATTGACAATTCTCCAGTGCTAGGAAAACGGATGCACTATACTGGACTGAATTGCCAAAATAAATGTAAATATACTTAGAAGTACGATACCCGGGTTATTTTAAAACATTAATTTGGTGATCGACAATGAGGAACCCAAACTCTGATTGGTGCAGATATGCTGTAGGCTATTATACCAATACCTTAGCTGTTAAACGTGATTGGGAGATGGTTTTCGGTAAGTGGAGTTTACTATTATTGGATCTTCTCGAAAACACCTTCATTTACAACCTTTGAAAACGGATTTCTTCTGGCGAGTGTTTTCAATGAAAGGGAACAGCGAAAAGGGAATATTCGGAATGGCAAGACCCCGTCAGCTGGCTCGTGTAGATGTGAGAACCTCGTCCGAGTGATGACCCGTTAACCCCTGGTGAATCGCGAGCTCCAAGAGCTGTTGCAAATGCCTTACTAATAACATGACCTTGTTAAAAGCCAATCACGGAAACGAACATGAAACTCACACAATCATCGGTTTTCATTCTCTTCAGGACAGTGTCGGAATCGGCTTCTTTTAGGTATACGGTTAAGTATGCTTGTCTGATTTGCCCATAAAACTACCAGATTCATTCTCTTGTCTGTTGTACAGTTAACAATTCTAAAAACAGGGTTTATCAAGGTCCTACGTTTCGATTTGATATACAAAGATTTTCATACATAATTCATTGAGAAAAATTCTGATTGTTAGGGAAGAACAGTTATTACGCTTGGTGTTTGGTACTCACCGCAGTTTGGAATGCATCTTGTCGAATCCCAGCAAGCAGATGCGGTGCGATTCGATACCAGAACGCGGTCAAGCGACCGGCAACATGCGAGGCGGAAAAATTGTTCGCTTGACTACATGCTACCACAGAGATACCGGAGCGTAAATTGCCGTCGGGAGAGGAACGCCATGCACGAAGATACACGTGATAACTCAGGGTTTCTTTGGTGCGTAAATAATCGAATGCCGGTTCGGACAAAATGTACTTTGATTCGCACAAACATATTCCATGTATGGTTGTAATTAAAGAGGAGACGGGGAAAAGCAACAAAAGAGATGATTTGATGCGGACATATTGATGCTACTTAAATATAGCCGCCTAGTAGACATACTCGGTTGAACATAAATACTGTGAAAACAATTATGGGGATAAAATCGATTGGAGGTTAAATAAGCAATTAATGATTCCCAGTCTTTAGCATGCAAATTATTCAGACAGAAAGTCAGTGTAGATGCTCACGGCTCACAGTGTTCCCGGATGTCACAAAGCTCAACTGCAGGTTTAAGCAAACAAACCTCAAAGGTGAATTCGTCGTGTATATAGCAAATGAGGCGTGAACCGAAAAGCTAGGAAGCATTGGACAGCTGTTTCGACCTGGTTGGGTTCCGTCAGCAATGCGAATCCACCGACCCAAATGGGGTTCGAACCCGGGACCTGGGGGGTAGAACTCAAACGCGATACCCACTCGGCCACAGGGTAGCCGAGCAGACCATTTTTCATTTGCCATATATACACGGCGAATTCACTTTTGAAATTGAACCAAATCCTCCATTACTCATTTGAAACAAACCCCAGTTGAGAATGTTAGAGTATACGGAATATGTAACTGACTTGTGTCGATTACACCATGATTCGAACAAATTGCAATTTAGTTAGGTCGAGAAAACGATCGTATCCTCGCAAAACACGATGAGGGAATCTCGTGCGGAAGTCTGATCATAAACAGCAGGACCTCAGTGATGAGCACATAACCACCGAGGATAAAGTGAGGAAGTTTCACAGGGATGGCGGTACAAATCACAGTCACGACTCCGAGTTTGCGTGATTGAATATCACCGCAGCCGCTGCCGCATTTGCATACGCATAATGCATACAGTGAAGCTAATCGAACCAGGACAGACAGCATTGAACAAACGTTGGCATGCATAGAAGTCCATTTGTGGCCACGTGTAGTAGTTTATGAGGAAATTCAGGACCAAATTTATAGGTACGTGTTCGACTATTTAGTAATGCACGTAAAACTGATTTCTCTGGCACATGCAAGGACATTCATTCTCAAACAGACACAACAATGTTCGGGAGTCTCTGCAATAGAATATTGAACTTCTGAGAACAAACGAAGTTGTGATGAGTAACGTAGATGGCTCACAACTAACAAGAAATTGAGCACTGTTGGGTCCAGATAAAGGAAACCTATCTAGAACCTATGGCCTATGAGAAAAGTCGACGTCTAGGTTGGCCTGATAGAATATTTGAAGTAAACTTTCATGGGGGAACAACTGACAACCTCAAAAAAGGTACAATGACGTATAAACCCAACTAATTTTCTATTATACCATTCGTGAAAAGATCGAGAACCTCTATGGAAGTGGAACTCACACACATGGATGCCAATAAGGCTTCTGTAAAAATACAGTTGAACTACGAAGTTGTACCTAAGCTTCAGGGTTTCGACATCAGTTTACCCAACCAACCCACAGAGACATTCGGGGCAATTATGTAAAATGTGAACATAATATAGGCACGAGTTGAGTGAATAAATGAATATGAAACGATCCGACTATTTCGGTTGGCCTCGGAGCTCATCGAGCACAGCGCACGCCGTGCAAAAATTAAGCTATATCACCCATGAGTGGATCCGAATTCCGCTCAAGGTTAACGAGTTTTTCTCAGAAAAATTATATAAGGACTATGCGGAATATGAAACAACAGGAAGTCATACAATCTGGCTTTGGCTCGGCCAAACAACGCAATGAGTGTTACATGGGAAGGAGTCAGTAAATTTTGAAATCTCACAAACCAAAGACGGCAAATGAAAGTTTGAATATTAGACAAAACCAAGCGAATAAAAGGATCAATAAAATCGGTTACATCGAATGAAGAAACACAAAATCCATCAACGTTGTGTGTGTGTGATATTCCAGGAAGTAATTCAATACGAGAAAAATGTTTATTGTAACATTCAGATAGTGGGATTATCGTCTTTCCGTGCGCTGTTTGTGATCTTATAAGTTCACCAATCATGGGAAGGAATGTTTGTCTATCTCGACGTGTCGGTTGAACGAATTGAGGGAGTTTAGGGCTTAGATATTTATTCGCTCCTCTTCTTGGCTAGCGCCACCACGTTTGCGTTATCGGTCGCGATCTGGTTACTTGTCCGTGAGCAGCGGTTCCAGATTAGCAACCTCGGGTCAGCGCGTCGGAGGGAAAGCGTCATTTTGTGTAGGCGAGTGCGTAGCCGTTTGCCTGTCTCACCTAAGTAGTGTTTACGACAGACCAGGCATGAGATTGGGTAGATTATACCTGATTGTTCGTACTATTCGATTTGTTTATTGCCGTTGAAGAGAAACGATCTCACAGCTTTTCAAACCAAAACAACAGAGTGGCGAACAAGCTCGTTTTCAGAGATTCGTATTCAT